ACATCGTGCAGATTCCCTAGCATTTCAGTGCCGGTGAACTCCCTCTGCCGCCTTCCGTCCTTGTCGACCTCGAAGACTCGAATCTTGCGAGATCCATCGGGACTCAGTTTGACCTGGGCAGCAATCTGGTCATGCAGATCGTGGACCATATTGGTTTTTGGCAAAAGGAACGAATGTGTCGACTAGTAAATAGTATAGCACTGTCAGTGGAGCATTCTGAGCATGAAAAAAAAAGTTCTGTACCTCTTCCTTGTTGTGTAGGCCAGTCCAAATGATCTTCAAGCTTCGCTTGGTCTCCAATTCTACGATGCTTAGCTCCAACTTCTCATAGAAGATAATTGTGGAGGGAGCAGCGTTGTATGCAGTTGGCTGGATGATATCGGAAATTGTCTGGTTCAACGAACGCTTGAGGATGCTCTTTGGGGTACCAGTCGCAGTTGATGTAGTAAATCGTAGCTTGATCGAATCGTGTTTGAGGTGCTCGGCGACTTTTTGCGACATCTTGGTGAGGGTATGTGAGCATAAGTATATGTACGAGTGTGAGGATTTTCATACCATCTCGTAGTTCATCTTCTTGCTGAGGACCAACTCAAATTCTTCCCCGCCCTGTTCCTCGAACTTGGGCTTGAAGAAGATCATCACACGATTCTGGAGGAAATCATAGTATCCAATAGGGCTGGAGTACATCCCTTGCGCTTCGTAGTCGTGAGCCCTAAGCTAGTCATCAGTATGTGTAGGCTTCGGGTTACGTCAATCTCGACGTACTCTTTATCAGAGAGATCGACCTGGAAACAGATGATATCACCGTCCTGGATCTCGCTCTGGGCAAAAGTCATCTTTGACTTCATCAACTCGATCATGCCAGGTTTGATTTCCTTGCGAGACGCGTATGTCAGCTACAGTCATTCTTATTATGTGGTCACATCGAAGGGACATACTTCGTATAACCTGAGAGGAGTGGTCGCCTGCCATCCCATCATTGCGTTGATGGTCCCGACGAGCTCTCCAACCTTGCTATTTCGTTGGACGTAAATCTTGCTGACACCCTTCAATGTCTGGTCGGTGACACTGAAGTGTTTGAGGAAAATCATGATGGAGTTGTTGTCAAGGGCCTTTGGTACGAGGTGGTCAGAAAGGTGGGATGAGCCAAAATTCGAGGCATATACCTTGGCGCCAGTGACAGCTTCGCCAGGGAAGTCGATAACGTCTAGATACAGCCGCAGGTCGTTTTGGCGGGCTGCCATGTTGTTACGCACAAGCTCCACAGCTGCAGGATATAGAAATGAGCAGCATGCTCGGACGATTTAAGAAAGAGCCGGAGATTACTCACTTAGAGTAGACTCGTTCTCTGGGATATGCGTATCTGGCCGTACGGTCTTGTTTTGGCGATTCACAAGTACCCACAGACGAATGGCATTCTCATCCTGCTTAAAGTATTCGGCCACCCGACGCTTGAACTGGGCGTAGGGTTCCGTTTTAAGCACCCGGAAAGCAGGAAGCTCCGTAGGTGGCCAGTTCTTCTCTTCGAATGAAGCAAGATCAAAGCCTTGATGAGTCTGGAAGGTTTCGTCGGTGATGATCTTTGCAGTCAGGAATAAGTGTTGCTCGTCGCGCTCTCGCTTCTTGATATCCTGCTGCCGACGTTCTTCATCCAACCGCCGTTCTAGAATGGATATAAGTCAAGGTTTCACAGTGAGAAGTATTGAGATACGCACTTAAGTGTGAGGGGGTATCCTCCTCCTTGAAAGGCGCCAGGATATCATTGATCCGCGACTCCCGGATGTACACCAACATGTAAGCATTCGTAAAACGCTTAACGGCATTTCGGGCCTGGTTCCGCTGTTGAGCTTGGGGAAGAAGATTGTTGAGGACTTCCCCGCCGTAGTTCTCCTCCAGAACCTCCTTGTCGGTGACAGGCGTCACTCGGTCGTCATCATACTTCAGCCAGCGAGTCTCACGGTCGGGCTTGATGAGAGCGAAGTAATGGCCGCCATGCAGATCTCCAGAATGGACGAGGACGCCGTGCAGCCTGTAGACATGTGATTCTGAGCGATCGGCGGCCTCATCGAGGAATTCAGCCAGGTCAATTTCGAAGGGGAACTCGTGGCGGTCGTTGATCTAAAATGTGTTCAGAATCGGGCTACTTGGCGAACATGATAGAAAAATTACCTTAACCATGGCGTCACGCTGCATATCGTATTCGAAGCGCTTCAATTGTAGATGGAGCACAGGAGGGAATGATTGAAAGATGACACCCTTCTTGGCATCCTGGAGTCCGTACCCCTCGGCCTGGTACTTATTCTCTCCTTCCAGGGTCTCAACGGCAATGTAGTCACGGAAAGATTCTTGAAGATTCTTCATCCCCTTGACATTCAATTGTATGTCTGCAGAATTTTCGGATCAGTAGAATATGAGAAGAGTAGCGCACAAATCCTTACCGTAGAAATCTTCCGACCGTGCAGACTCGTAGTTGACGTTGACACACTTGATGTAACTCTTCATCTTGCCGACAAAGAGCTTGTTAATAGCGCCTTCTGCCGCAGTGCCTTTCATCTTAATTTCGAGTTTATCTTGGAGAACACGGTTGAACTCTTGCACGTCATGCTGCATGAATGAATCCAGCGACTTCCAACCAAACGACTTTGTCAACTCGTTGGTGCCTGGAAAATTATCGTGGTGAGAAGAATACGATGAGGAGTGTAAGGTTGGGTGACGAACCAACGGGCTGGTCAGAGGTCTGGAGGTGGTAAAATACTCTCTGTAGAGCTAAGGATACACTTTCTGTGGGAGTATCATCTTCTGTTGGTATTTGATACACAGCCTGCAAATCAAATTAGGTTAGGGAGGAAATGAGGTAGAGGAAATAGGCCAAACACACTCGACGGAAATAGTTGGTTAGGAAGAGAGATTGAAGGAGCGAGTTCATATAACATGTTGCGCCCTGATTCTTGAGACCCACGTATCCTGTCTCTTTCTTGGAATCATAGCTAGAATAGAAAGTTTAGGACATGGACCCTCGTAGAACAGGTTCGACTCACTTCTGGAAGTTGTGCCATAGGACACCAGTAGGGTCCTTCAACACCCGAACGAACACTGTAACTTCAGCCTCATCATTCTCGATGATCGGACGCTTCTGAACTTCTTGGGCATTATACAGTTTTCTGAGATCGTGGAAACGGGTGAATCCCCAGTCACACTCCTCGGCGACAAACCGATGATGCGCGTCTACCGATAAGGAATGTTTAGAACGAAACAGCAGGAGACATAGAGGAAACAGTACATACGGCTGACGACGTAGGTGTAGGGGTCCTGTACGTTGGACATAACAAGGGCAAACTGGGCACACGCGTGCCAGTCGGTTGATGTCTTTGGATCGGCATAGTCAAGATATATAGAAACGGACTCGTTCGGCGGCGCATTCGAGTTCCCAGTAGGGAAGAGCAGTATTCGCCTATAGGCGAACCATATTTTGAGCGGCGAGAAACGACAAAAGAGGCGCGCGAACGTCATACCATCTGTGGCCACCACACTCAAACTCCTGACTGGTCAGTTTCTTCTCCAGTGTCTTCCACTTGGTTAGTCGCCAAGTGAAGACCTGAAAATCCTCGATTTCATGCCCAAGGTCAGGCATATTCTTCCCGGCGAACGCCTCGTCTATTCACATCGAAGGGGCGTAGCGCAGTCAGATCGAGGCCGAGGTCTATCGAAAAGGATTTCGCCAGCTTACGATCGTAGACGCTTGGCACTTCATCCACTTCCATGGTGGCCGTTGGAGATGACCCCTTCTCGTCGATCACTTCTATTGGGACAGCTTCCGACTGCCGTCGCAATGACCCAGAACTGATCAGCGCCTCGCAGTCGTCGATAAGAATGTGGTAACAAATAGCATACCATTTGGTAGATATCGCTATCGAGTTATGGAAGGCTGAGAGGAATTGTAGATGATGGCCAACGCTCACGACCCAGCGCGTCTTAGCTGACACACACACAACGACTCGGGCTCCGGCGTTACCCGCCGCTACCGCCGCAGTGCATCCTTTTTTTGGTCCCTCCACATCTCTCAACAGTTCGAGGCTCACCACTCTGTTATCACCAATAAAATACGGGTTCTTCAGTGCTTGGAATTTCCTTCCTGTCCGCTGTCTTTCTGTTATTTTTCTCGTTCTTTTTTCGTTTTGTGTGCCTATGCACAGGCCTTAGATATCCGACAGGAGCGTCTTTGACTGGGCGATCAATTCGTCTATCGCTTTTAGCATCTTCACTGATGCTGCCGCTCATGTTTATTCGCGAGTGGCGGGGTGAGCTCACCAGCGCTTTGCTGGGTATTGTCGGTCATGAGTCATTCCCGTGCAAGAACGAGCCAGTGTATCATCGTACGTCCTTGACATAGAGATCTGATCACGTCTTGTGATTAGTTTCTGTCGGTGTTACCACCGGTACGCCGCATTGGCGGAGGGTTCATGGATCAATGAATTTTTGGGCTTTCCGCTTTTTGCGGAACCTGTCCCCACTTTTCTCCATCCATGCATCCAAACATATATTTTTCATACTTTTACCTACATTTGTTATCTCTGTACACTCCAGCCTGCTATGCCTATATATTCTACCATGTGTCCAATGATTGCTCCCAGTTCATGGGGTTGAACTTGCTACAGAACCCTCAGTACAGCTTTTTGACGTACAAATATAAAGCTCTTTCACCAGCAATCAAGTTCTGTACAAAAATATACCCCTTTGAACCGCATTGGGAACCAAATGTGAGTGTATCGGGGACGTCTCAGAAAGAAGAGCCTTTCGGCGGGCAGGTTGTGGAGATATGACGGAAGCCAGAAAGACAGTGCAGTTGCTAGTGCGGCAAATGAGCGAGCGTCTCAAGAGAGCTCCCTTGAGAGTCAGTAACAAAAAGGTAAAAATGAGCTTTCAGGAAAACCAAGCGTATAAGTTCCAGAATGATCATATCACAACTCCGAAACTCCTCCTATCCACTAGAGCAAAAGTGATGATCTGACCCAGGGTCGAACTGAGGACCTTCAGTGCACATTGACATACAATGTAAAACTGACGCGCTAGCCACTGCGCCACCAGATCGTCTCCGTTGAAATCGGGAGTCATTGCTTTTTGGATGTTTGAAATTTCCTCGGTACGTTTTTGAGCAGACATGGACATTAGATAAAGTAGAATGTAACAGGATACTGTCAGCTTCTTGAATAAAATGATCGAATTTCCGCCCCGTGTCCCCCTCTGGTTCGGAACCATCAAATATGCTTGAGACAACTGAACGCCTTGGACTTACGGAGCCCCAACATCCTCAAGTACTTTATCCCTTCCTTCAACTAGAGCCCCTAGTTCTATTAGAAATTAAGCTGATTTGATCTATAAATTTAGTCTTGAGCTATCCGGGTGCTTTGATTGTTTGGCAAGGGGGTTGATTTGAGTCCTCCTTGGGACAGATCCCCAAATATATCACGATCCAGTGCAATACGAGGGACAGAATGGTCCCGCTCTTAATTCTTATCGACCTAAGCCTTCAATCGTTACCCCGTCCAAGTCAAGTACAGTGTCAATACTCATTGCAAGAACTCTCTCACGGGCTACATTTCCACTATAGCCGGCCAGATTTGCATTGACTACCTTGACTGACACTCTGAAACGCTTCGAACAGGGATCGCCCATTGAACTCTCCACAACTTGAAAATAACCCGTGCCCTGATAACTATCATAGAGGAGTCAGATGGTTGAGTCCACGGTCAAGATGAAAAGACAGGTCACACGACAAAACTGGTTCCGAAAGTCACGATCGCGCACGGAACCGTCACGGTGCCTCGAACTCACTCGATCGATTTGTGCGAATGACACTCAAGGCGCTCGAAAAGGGCGCATTCCAGTTATATGACCTAAAGGTCATCGTTGTTGTTCCTGATGGCACACCCGACGTGACACCATCCACACTCTTGCCCTGCAATGCATATCTCAACGATTCATTCGAGCTTCGCGGAGAGCTGCTATTCCTGCCACCTGGTCAAGGGATGTCAATCTACTCGATAGGTTCGTTGCTTTTCTCACTATTCAATTCATGTTCACGAGCGCTGACCGTGTTTTGCGGCCGAATCACGGCGTATTGTACAGCGAGCGTCCTTCCCCTCCTCGCGGCGAAGCAGCGCGTCACGCAGCCCAATGACTGGATGTCGTACGACGCGGATGTTGCATGCCCCGACCCCTTATGTCCCTCTCGCTTGCGGATTAAGCGAACTGCGATACGGACCTTCTACCCTGATGGCTCTCAGGAAGTGGAACAATTGCAGAGTGATGTCGAGAGCCAAGGGCAAGGCGAAGTAGTAGATGTGAGGAAATAACAAGCCTCGATTGCGATTATACTTGATTCATTATCATTTAGAGCACATAGTTGAAGTCGATAAATCGTCCAATTCCCAATAATACCAGCGCACCCTTACGCCTCCCCCCCTCCTGAGTCCTAGTGCTGCACTGCTCCTGCGCCCCTGAAACGTCTGCCCTTTATCGCACCGACCCTCACGATAACGCCCGCATGCACATTGGATGTTCCGTCGAGCCAGCTTTGAAAGTTTCCGGCAAATCCGTACGGGTCAAACTCGAGAGGAGGCAAGGTCGGCGTAATCCCGCCTAAATGACGCATTCCCTTCGTCACCCCGTCTTCATCTAGATCTTCGCTATTGATCGACCCGTTGGTGTTAAAAGCGGAGTGGGGGCGGTAGCCGAGAGCCTCGTGTCCGGGCGCCTTGGATTGAGCACTAGATGTGCTACTGCACCATGAGCGGGATCTCGCCAAACGAGACTTTCCTACCAAGACTTCGTAGCCACTTGGCTCGAGAGCAAGAAATTCTGGTGTATGCACACTAGCAAGCACCTCATCGACAGAATCCAACACTGCTAAGGCGAACCCGGATGTGTCGACAGAAGGTACAGGAAGGCGGAACTTGCGCAACGTCGGAACTCGAGATAGTGGAGAGGAATTGGTCCCGGTCTCCATCAGCATAGGTTCCGTAGATAGTGAATGAGCTTGGATATTGACAAAATGATGGCAAGGACTCTTCGGAGGAACGGGAGGCGGAACATCATTCCCTGCAATTGAATCACCGACTTGTGTCATTATGGACGGCGCTTGATTTGAATCATTGGGTGAGGTGGTCCGCGTAGTGATTTTGGTCTCATTATTGCCAATTTTGTGGTTGAGATGATCGCCGGCAGTGAGATGCCTCTCTGTCGCTGTCTGGCTTGTGTCCTGTGTCAGCTCCGGGGAGATTACCTTGGTCCTTGATCCTGGAAATTTTCTAGTCTTCTTTCGGTTCAATACTCCATCCGGGGCCGAGATGTGCTCAAGAGCGAAGGAAAATTGCGGAAGCTGAGGTGGAGCTTCTGTTACATTCGGCTTGGCCTGTACCGGGGCTGGAGTGTTGGCGGGTTGTGGAGTAGAAGATTCCTTGGCCGTCGTCTGGGGTTGTGGAGCATCTGCGGGCTGGCTCGTAGTGAGAGTCTCTGAGTCAAGTGAGCGGCGTTGGGCTTCCTGTCCTTCCGCAAACCCATCGCTAGCCGTGCCGATGGATGAGACTGATGCCCGCCTGCGAGGTTTTGAAGCTTTCGGTCGGGGTGGCTCGGCACGCTGGTTCCACAGCACTTCAGGATCGCTAGAAAGTCGTCGTGCTTTTTGTTTCATTGTTTCCGAGGAACCGTCATTATCCACGGGCTCGACTGGCTGCTTTCCCGATAATGTTCGGCCACCTGAGAGGGTTTTTGTGCCACCCAGTGATCCATACCGTGGCGAGCGACTGGGAATCGTCGATTGCGTCGGGAAAGCCAATGATCGTGAGGAAGAGGCGATGGAAGATGTAGACTGAACGCGTCGTAATATCCGCTTGAAAGGAGCCGCCTTTTGAGGTTTTTTCTTGTCAGCTGGCGTAGGCTTGGGGTCGTCTTCTCTTGGTGGCATAGTCGCCTTCAGTAGTGGAATACCATCAGCAGTTGGTGGTGGACTCAGCAGAGTAAGATTCTGGGGCTTGGGAGTTGGAGCCAACATTTTCGAGGCGCCGCCGTTTGAAGAGTGACAAGATGGTGGGATCGGAAGGGTGGAGAGGATACTAGGTGCCGACTGAGCTCGTGTCTGCTGAGAATTGTCTTCAGGTTCGGTACGCGCCTGGGACTCGAGGCTAGGAGACTTGCTCAATATCAAAGGGACTGTAATGGACAATTCGTTGAACATCACTGTAGGTGCAAATTATACAGAACGTGGTGATGCAAACTCACAACCATTGACGCCCTCGAGGGATGAAGCATGAGAATAACTCGAACGGAGAGGCATCACCATCGAAGCCAATTGCTCGTGAGAAGGTCGACGGAAGATAGGTACACCCTTTTGACCTTCTGAGATATCTTTATAAGCGGCGGCGAGTGCCATCCAGTCCTTAGCCCCAATGTCGGCCCCCTGTATGCAAATAGATTAACCACTAGCACCCACATAACAAGAACGTGACAACTTACTGGAGTAGAGGGATTGGAGTCGAGGAATGATACCATTTTCCCTTCAGACTCAGAACTCCAGATACAGACGGAATTCTGGCGCCTTTTGGGGTTGCCATTACCATCGAGCGTCGGTGCTTCGAGGAAGATATTGGGAAGATCAGGGATGAGATGGCGAGCAATGCCTGTAGGTTTGGGTGCGGGAGGTCCCGGGATCTCTTCCAGCGCGATTCCTCGATCGTTTAGGGTCGGAGTGACTGGAGGTACCTGGAATGGATTACAGAGGAATACGGGTGAATCGGGAGCGCGTTTTGCATGCAAAGTACCCTTATTGAGCTTGAAGCCACTGATCAGGGGCTCAGAGTGGCGCTCAGACTGTTTCGCGGGTATATGCTGTTCCTTTGAATGAGTGTTGCCAGTGCTAGCTCGTCGAAAGCGAGAAAACATTCTGCAGAGATCTCAACAGGTAGCTAGAATCAGTCTCAAGGTACAACCAGTAGTACGCGGCAGAGAGCAAAGGAGACAGAGAACGGGGATGAATGGGCTCCACTCCGTGGGTATCTTATATAAGTGGGTCATTTTGCGAGTGCGGCAGACTCAGACGAGGCGTGATTGAGGAAACCGCCGTGGGAACAAAAGGTTAATGTGTCACACGCGACTCGGAGACAGTCACAGAAATTATTCCCAAGCGACTGAGCTGCAAACAACACACACTCACCGCAATCTGTCAAGCGGATGATCCGGGAGGTGGAACTCAGAGTCGTGGACCAGTGATTGTCCACTTGTTGAAAATAAGATGAACCCTCGAGACCATGATGGCTGCCTGGCTTGTGAATATGCAACGGGACAAACGTACACCTTCATTCTCTCACCTGAGCCTTCCCGCCTATGCAAATTCGCCGGATCCTCATAAGACCTGAGCACAAACCGACAGGCAACGCTTACTCCGTCTCCGGCTACTCTATCCCCTCTATCCACCCTTCCCCGCCTATCATGGCCACCAAAACTTTCACCCTTGCTGAGGTCGCCAAGGTTGGTCTGCAACCTAGGCTCTTCGACCAGTTGTCGTCACCCGAGGCTGACGTGGAATCTTTATCTCACGGTAGCACAACACTGAGGAGGACCTCTGGATCATTATCGATGGCAAGGTCTACGATGTGACCAAGTTCCAAAAATTCCACCCTGGTGGTCGCAACGTTCTCTATGATCCCAAGAGCGGTACGTCTTGTCGCAGCTCTGAAACTCCAACTCGAACAAGATTGACCTAAATGACGATGACCCAATATAACAGCCGGCAAGGATGTGACCAGCGTCTTCTTCCAACTCCACCGTGCGGACATCATCGAGAAGCCCGCCTACAAGCGTCTGGTTATCGGAACCGTTGAGGGCCAGACTTCGCAATTCCTCAAGGCTCCTTCAGATGCTTTGAGCGTCGTCCCCTACGGCGTGAGTTATGCCGGTGCTATAATTATCCGAGTTTGTCACTGATTTCTTTGCCCAAAGGAACCCGAGTGGTTGAACCCCAAGTTCTTCTCTGCCTACTACAAAGACGTTCGTATAGCTTTCCGAATAACAAGGAGTTATGTTTCATCGACTGA